ATTTAGCCTATTATTATCATGGTGCGCTATTGTGGCATACAGACAGACATGGAGCTTCATATCCTTATCCAAAGGCAACAGGAGGTACACTGAGACACTGGGTATGGCTTAAGCATATATGAGATCTCAGTGACCACTCCCACAGTGAAACATTTCCTCCAACAAGGCAACACCTACTCCAAAGAAATCATAACTCCTAATAATCCCACACTTTATAAGCTTATAGGGGTCAATTACATTCAAACCACCACAGATCCTGTTTTTCTTACCTAGTATCCTAGTATTACCCAAAAGGGGGAGATAAACTTAAGTGAGGGAAGAATGGGGAGGAAAAACAGACAGAAAGAGGAAAGATAGAAATGACGGGGGGGGGGGGTCTTTTCGCCCTGAAATATTTTTGTAAAGATCACATATTCCCAAAACAAACTGAAATGACTGCTTGGTACTTCAAATTTTGAAGTATTCTTAAAACTTAAAGGAACACTTAAAACAAATTCTAACAGCTATTTATTTATTTATTTTTGAGACGATGTTTCTCTGTAGCTTTGGAGCCTATCCTAGAACTAGTTCTTGTAGACCACCAGACTGGCCTCAAAACCAGTGTTCCACCTGCCTCTGCCTTAAAGGCATGCACCACTACCCAGCTCTACATTTTTTTTTTTTTGGTTTATTATGTGAGGATTGTAAGGACAATGCTTTCTTCATAGACAACTAAATTGCTCCAAGTGGGGAAGAAACAAATACATGTATTGATTAGGGATGTTCACTGGGTAGAAGCTTATTTAAGGACACAAGCTCAGTGACAACATATCTAAATGGTACTATGACCCAGGATATCTTTTTTCTCTTCATTTTAATTTACAGACACTACACTTTTAAAGAATGTATGGCATATGGAGGCACACATTGAGCTCAGTGGCTTCAGATCCCTTTGAGCTGGAATTTTAAGTTGGAACAAACTGATATTGGTGCCAAAACCCAAACTCCAGTCCTCTGCAAGAGCAGCAGTACATGTTCTTAACAAATGTGCAATAGCTTTTGCCTTTACACTGATTTTACAAACTGAGTTTGTGGCAGCCCTGTTCTGAGTGGGTCTATGCATGCAATTTTCCAATAGCGTGTGCTAACTTAATGTGTTTGTGCCACAACTGGTGATTCTCTTATCTCTACCCCATAGTTTTGAGACAGGGTCCTTGTTTACCAGACTGGGTATAAACTCTACATATCCAACAATGACTTTGAACCTTGCTGAGATTATAGTTGCATGATACTACACTCAGGTAATCAAGTGCCTAGAGACAGAACCTAACATTCCCTGCATGGCAGGCAAGCACTTTACCAACCAGTTTCATCTCCAGCCCCTTTAAGTTTACATTACATATTTTATAATTTTTGATCTTAGTATTATGACAATAATTGTTTGAAGCACCTTAAATTTCACTGAAAGATGTGCTTCAGATTGCTCCATAAACCAGTCACTGCACATCTCTTTCCACCTTACTCCATTTCCCAGCTTGTTTATTCTGAAACACAATGTTGAAACTGGTTTCACAACCCTCAGAATCTTTAACTGTTAAAGTAAAAGGGTCACATAACAGCCACTTTAATTAAAAGCTAAAAATGACCAGTCTGTATGAGGAAAGCATATGGAAAGCCCCAATAGGCAGAAAGTTAGATCAACACACAACAAATGTTAAGCCAAGCTTAACCTTGAATGCAAAGGTAAAGTTCTTGATGGGAAATGAAGTGTTAGTCCTGCAACTTAAGAAAGAAAAATAGCCTTGTTGCTGATTTGACGAAAGTTTTATCACTGGGGCAGATGACCAAAGCAGCTACATTTCTCTAAGACAAAATCTAAGCCAGAACAAGGCGTTACCCTTCTCTTCAATTCTATGAATCCTGATGGATAAGAAATCTTCAGAAGAAAAATTTAAAGTGAGGAGACATTTATGATTTAATGAAAATCATATCCATGACATAAAACTGCAAGGTGAAATAGCAAGTGCTACTATGGAAGCTCATGCAAGATCCTTAGATATAGCTAGAATAACTGATGACAGTGGTTACATTAAACAAGAAATTCAATACATACACTTATATTGAAAAATGATGCTATCCAGTATGTTCATAGCTGCAGAGAAAACAATGTCAGCCTTCAAAATGTGAAAGCTTCAAAGCATAGGCTCTAATTATCTGTTCTATCCCTTTAAGAGACAAGTCATGCCCACTCCCTTCCTGCTTGCAGTCTTAGGCTCTCTCTCACACTCTCTGAGACAGGTTGTCTCTCCTCTCTCTCTCCCCTTCTCTGCCCTTTTCCCTTCCCTTCCATAACCATTAAATACCCAACCTCACTCTACAAGTCGTGCCTATCCATGTCTGTCTCTTGCCTAACATGTCTCCCTGCCGGGGACTAGACACTGCTCTGGGACCGTCAGCCATCTCTGCCTGGGACTGGCTGCCTGCCGCCACATGGCCCACTACCACCGCTTGGGGACCTACAGCATTTCTGCTGCCTGCTGCTGCTGGGAATTCTGCAGCATTTTTAATTTTTTCATTACATAGGCTGATTCTCAGGGGTAATAAAGCTAGGAACCTTAAAGTTAAGGCAACACTTAATTACCATTCTGAACATTGCAGGGGATTTAAAATTCATGCTACACCTACTCCTTCCTTTATAAATGGAACATAGCCAGATAACTGCACAACTGTAACATAGCTTATTGGATATATTAAGTCCACTGTTGAGGTTTCCTGAAAGCGAGTTCATAAAAAGATACAAAACTAGATTCTCTTTAGTGACAATGTACTTGGCAACCCACAAACTCTAGGAAAGACGTAAAACTACTTGGACTTTCACCTATTATTTATGAGATGCGATAGATGCCACAGTGATTCCTCTGATGGGTTCTTGCAAAGTACACTGAAAACAATTCACAATTTTTAAACACCATGATGAACTTAATGACTTATGAGAGGAGGCCAAAACACCAACACTAACATGAGTGTAGAGAAATCCTTTCCTGGTGACTCTTAAGAGGTTCAAGATTTCAATAGAAATAGTAAATAAAGATGTATAAAAATAGCAAGTAACACTAAAAGTAGAACCTGAAAATGTGACAAAATTGCTTTCATCTCATGATCAAACTTCTAATGGCTAGAGTCTCTACTTATGAATGACCAAAGAAAGGTGTTACTCAAGATGGGAAATACTGGTAAAGAATTATAAACTTGGTTTAAATGTCAATAAATGATTGAGACTCTCTTACAAGTTTAGGTGATGAAACAGCTACAGGGTTTATGAGATTAATTCCCAGTCTTCAAGTTATCCTTTTAGTAAGATGCTATCAAACAGCATTGCGTCAGCAAATTATTTGATGTAAAGAGTCATCTATATGGTAAACTTCCATTCTGAAAAACTATAGTCACCCAACTTTCAGTACTTACCATCCTGGGCAATTAGCAGCCATAAATACTAAAGCAAGCTCATCCTCAGGAAAACAAACTGAAAACAAAACCCCCAAACACATGATGTCCTAAAGGTTAAGATGAACAGAAACATTTTTATCAACAGCATTTTAAAATAAAGTATACACACACACACACACACACACACACACACAGTAATTTCAAATATACTATTCATCTTAGGGTTTCTATTACTATGATAAAACATCACAACCAAAAGCTTTAGGGAGGAAAGGGTTTATTAGGCTTACAGGTTATAGTCCATTATTAGGGAAGCCAAGGTAGAAAGTCAGAGGCAGGAACTGAATCAGGGTGCTGCTTACTGGTTGTTCCACCTAGCTTGCTCATCATGTTGTCTTATGTGCAGGAGAGGAAATACCCACAGTGAGCTAGGCCCTCCCACATAATCACTAGTCAAGAAAATGCCCCACAAATTTGCCCACACGCAATATGATAAGGGCATTCTTTTAAATTGATGTTTCTTTTCCTATATAAGCATAGCTTGTTTCAGGTGGAGAAAAACAAGCAAAAGACCCACTAAAACTAAAACATAAATAAATCAGGATACTGTTACAGTAACTATGGAGTAAACATAATTTTCAGATGTACCCAAAAGCCAAAAAGAAAAAAAAATCATTCACTTCATTATTGTAGTCCAGATTCCTACCTATGCTTATGCAAGCAATCCTAATAAAACTTAGTGGTCATTAGAAACAAAACAAATAAACAAACAAACAAAAAACTTAGTGATTATTTTAAAAAAAGGCAAGTGAGGTAAGATCAAAATATTTTAAATACATATATAAAACTGTCAAAAACTAAAGTAAAATACTTGTTCAACATAGTATCCAAAACTTACTTCTTGGTACAGAATTTAATAGTATCTTTCTACTATGAAGAACCACCTAAACATACCTTTGCACAGACACCTCAGTATTTCAGAGAAAACCCCCTAAACCAAGACCTGACAACTTGACATTTCTTATGTCTTTATCTCAAAATCACCCCAATTTCAATTTAAAATACTTATAATATCTTTGGGAAGAACCGTCAACAGATTTTCTTTTTGAATTTTTCTCAAATATTTTGATATTTACATCTTTTACTTTGTAGTCACATTTGTTGGGTAAAGGCAACCCCTACCTCTTTGGAACTACCTCAGTTGAGAAAGACACAACCAGGAAGACAATCTTTTCGTTCCATCACTGTGCTGATGAACCATAAAAGCAAACCCACAGGGTTGGTCTCAAGGCTTACAACAAAATAAATCAGCAGCTATCACTCGGTGAAGGGTTTACAGACACTGTGGAGAGCAAGACAAATTTTGAAATCTAGTTTCATGTAGCTATCCAGGGTTAGGTTGGGAATAGCTATTGATACAATTACAAAAGTAAAAAGGACTATTTACTATAATAATAAAATAGCTTACTTTACTATTAGCCTATCATTTACTTCATTTTAATATCTTCTTAAAACTGTTATCTTTCAGTATAATTTCAACTACACACAACCTCCTTGGACAAGACACTGAACCATTTTTTGCTTCCACGGGATTTATTTGTCCCTTGATAACCTGAGGGGAGAAAGTTGTAAACATCCATGATCAAAGAATGACAGTTCATGTTGTCACAGTGTTCTTGGCATGTTCTATAATGAAGTGCATCCCTGCCCACGTCTGCAAAGAATATCCACCAACACAATGCTTGCTCTTTTTGCCGCGCGGCCAGAGACTGGATACAACAATTAATTGCTGGTACTTTCAAACTTGATGGGACTTCTTGGGGTCCGCCAGGACAACTACACCAAAACAGGCGATACCTGAAGAAAAACAAAAAAAACCCAATGCCTTTGGTGTGTTGCATTTTAGTTTACTCAGCGCTTCGTATGTGCCATTTATAAAACCACCGCATGGCTGAAAGGTAGATCACTAGTGCACCTCTCTTACAGGACAGTGCTGGGAAAGGAGCCCCCGCCCCTAACCTCCCACCACGTCCCACCTCCGCAGCGCCCGCCCCCTGCTCACAGACGCCGACGACCATCTGCGCTATGGAGCCTGGTTGCACTGGGAGTCCCCGCTTCATGGGCCTCTGGCCCAGCAGGTAGACGTAGACGCCCGCCCCGAAGAGCGCAGACCCAGAAAGCAAGCGACAGCTCCAGCAGTCTGCAGAAGAGGAATCCTGTGCGTCGGAAGCTGGCGCAGCGGGTTTCGCAGGTGGGGTCGCGGGGGGAGGCCTGGCATACTCGACGTGATGGGACACTGAGGACCCCATGTCCGAAGAGGGCACCGTCGCCGAGCCTTTGCTTTCAACTGACGTAAAATGCTGCCGGAAAGCATCACGCTGGCGTAGCACCTCAGTGCTTCTGGGAAATGTAGTTGCGCCACGCAAGGATGTGGGCGGAACTGGGCGGAGCTGCCGCTGCCCCAGAAGGTTTTGGAGATTGAAACCAGGAAGTTTAAAAGTGCAGGCAGCGTCAGCCTGGTGTTTTAAGAACTGTGTTTTAGACTACTTTTTGAAAGTCTTGATTTCACTATCTAAGAAGTAGAAATATAGATCTGTAAGTTTCCTGACTAACACAAACTAAGGTCCTGACATGAGGACCTTGATAAGAATCAAAGACTACATTTAATATGTTCTTATCCAAGGGCTTACCTATAGCAATTCTGTGCATTCTGCCGTTTCTTCTCCTTTCTATTCTTTCTTTCTTTCTTTCTTTCTTTCTTTCTTTCTTTCTTTCTTTCTTTCTCTCTCTCTCTCTCTCTCTCTCTCTCTCTCTCTCTCTCTCTCTCT